AAGTGCAAGCAGTAATCTGTGTTCAGCACGGAATGGGATTAAGAATCCGGCCCGGCAAATTTTTCGTTTTCTGTATTGTTCCCCATTTTGCAACTGAACTGAAGCTATCATCTGATCTACCGATGCTGCCCCCGCAAAAATATTTTACGCGACTTTATTTCTCATGAGACTTTACAGCAAAGCAATTTGGACATCAAATCTAAAAAAAAAAACAGTGTTTGGCTCGTAGCCCACCACAGATCGGCCAAACGTCACTTGGAATACAAGAGTCTTCATGGGACTGAAGAATCGGTGGCATCAATATCATGATTAGTGGCGGGAAGGCGTTTGGGCTAACATTTACCGGACAAAGAAGTGTTTGTAAAACATCGATTCTGAAACGGTTTATCCCAAAGTCTGAGGTTACCCCTTAGTTGGGAACATTATATTCAGGTTGCGAGTTGAAGTTACCCAGGTGTACCCTCAATGGCGACGTCACCAGGGTCAAGGGTCAAAGAAGATGGTCTTTGTGTAACGGTCAACACGTTCCTACGCTTTCATAATATTCCATCCAAAAGAATATCGGGAGGCACAACCCAACATTGCGGGGCAGGGGCAACTCAGTATTGAGGGGGAGAGGCAAGGCCTTACAAAGAACACAGATTTATAGCCGTGGTTGGCATACGGTTAACTCGAAAAGACTGCTCTAGACAGCACGATTTCCCCACATAGTAAATATGTTCCGCAATATTCCAAACTGCTCTGGCGGCTGAGCCAAATGTTGTTATGTGCTTGCGTTTTGCCCTTTTCTCGTGGTGTTTTTGCATATTCATCAGTCCATTTGTAATATTTACTTATATTCACAAACTGGGACATGACGTTACTTTTAAGTAATTTGATTGCAAGTATTATTTCCGTATTAAAAAACAGCGATGACCAACTTCTTATATTATGTAGCACAAAACGTGATTCGTGAATGGAACTTGCACAACCTGTCCAACACCGACTGAAGGCAATTGACATCCATTATAACTAAAAATCGTGTTCACGGAAACCAGATCTAAACGGCTCAAAAATGATATTCTTCCTGGCCTTGAACGCCGCATGACCTTTGGAGTGGCAGGATTTAAATGTCTTTTCCATGGCGTCATACATGCCTAAAGTATCTTTGAATAGTTTGCACGAAATAGTCTGCGTACCTTCCCGGGCATGTGGTTGGGAAACTAGAGGACTTTAGGTCTTGTGAATGGTAGGCTGTGAACTGCAGCGAATCACCTTCAAAATGACTACTTCAATGCAAAATCACATACAGAGGTCGAACGCTCACTTTAACATAAGCCACTGGGAGATGCTTGGGACCAACATACATCATGTGCCCACGTAACACGATTAGAGCACCCCACAGGTTCTCCGTGAAGCCGAACTCGGTTACGCTATCAAGTCATCTGTGATTAAAAATAAGTGCTGCAAAGGGCGCCTTCATGCCGGAGCCGTAGCGTGATGTTACGGGTTGTTCAATGCCGTGTTCAGACGGTCTGGTTTTCTTCGTGGTTCTGGTGCAGGTGCCACGGTTCCAATAGCAAGCTGTGACGTCACGTACATAGGTGACGCCACCATGCCTCCGGCATCGACTTGAGCAGAAGAAACACATGTAGATTTCGAAAGGAGTTAGTGAACGCAAATCGAAGTGCATAACTTAACGTGTGCCCTTTCCCTATATATCATAAATTGAGGGCGGAAATAAGCGCTGCTGTTAACGCACTATTGAAGCCCCAACAATGGAGGAGTCAACAGTGGATAGAAAGGATGTATGCACAAATGTAATGCAAGTGCAATCCTAGTCCATCGTAGTGCGCTGGAGTATAGTCTATACTTTCTGTTGTCACAAAAGTGGTATTCACTTGACTTCAGTACTGATGACACGCGCTGGGTTCACGGCGAACTCGGTGACCGCATGACTGGCCATCGGTCACCATTGCTTCCGCGTTATAACAGAGAACTACGAGCCTAGTGACCGCAGCCTGCAGTCTGATCAGACGTATTGAGTGGGCGAGCGAAACGACCGAGTTAACACAGCCGTACAGATGAATCCCAGCCCCGCCGAAGCGCTATGGTAGCACGACCGCTCCACAGTATGCTTTTCCTGTCGGCCCATAGCGTTTACGTGTTAAATGCCTGCTTTTCACAAACCTGTAGACCAAGTTCTATCACATCAATGTCGATTAACATAACACAGAACGTGACGTTGTTCCATTATCTTGCACCGATCCATCGACCCTTTTTACTAGAGAAGCTAAGCTCCCACGATTTTTGTTTTTTCTATCTTTCCTTTCTATTATTCTGCGTCACGTTGTTCCGGATCAGTTTTCACGCACGGTACGCTGTGAATTTTCCAACTTTCGAGGCGTACTACTGGGCCCAGTAATTCGATCGGTAACGTGGCGGATCCATATGCAAAAGTTCATCAATTCGAAACCGGGTCGTTACGAAAATGCACTTTAGGGTATTACCGGCGTAAGCGTCGCACACTGTCTGGCGGGCATGAATGAGATCCGCACCTCCTTTTCGAATATGACTATATAAGACGATCACATACGACTTCTTAGACCACAATATACCATCCAGTGTTGAAAACAGCGGAATTGTGACATCGTTCCTAAGGAACCAAAATAATTAGTCTCATACAGGTACCAACGGATATATTTCGCCCGCAGATATTTACTTTGACGACAGCCTACCGCGCCGCAGATTTATCAAGCTGACCGGCTGACAGGGTCTCACGCAACGGACTCTAGTACGAAACTCATACATTGATATCGAAGGAAGCACACATTTTGCAACACCTACTCTACCCTCATTTTGTTCTATATATCATAAAATGACAATAAAAAGTGTGTTACTTCCCACCTCTCAACCAGCCAACTCGGTGAATATGCGGTGCGGCAGGAAGTGTGAGAGGCCTACGCCGGCAGTACCTGGCCTCTTACTCGAAGCCGCTGCTCCTCTCGGCAGAATGAGGTCCCGGATGAATCCTTGACATGTATCGCTTCAGTATCCTCCGTTGATCTATTCAGGTACAGTTCGGATATGCACGAACGACCGGCCTCCTTTTTAAGAGCTTTCTAACGCTTCTAACGTTGACGCCCTCCATGCTAGATCATTAGAAGAGCCGTACAGCGTTACAGAAACTAACGAGTAGCTCGTTCTTGAAACTGGTGAGTTTCTCATCACACGAACATGACTAACGACAGCCTACAGTCTCGAACTGAACCCGATTTGCAGCCGCGTGGCGAATTTTCGAAGCCATTGGTCTCCAATCGAACAATTTAAATTCAAAACACCGCGCAGCAGGCTGGTCACGCCCATCGCAAAGTGCTGAGGCCAGCCGCGTTTCTTACGACTTATAATAATTCTAGTTATTTGGTGTTTTATGTTGTTTAGTATGTAAAGTGAATCTTAGCTGATAGGTCTGTGAACAGACACTGATCTGAGGGAATTCTAAAGCTCTTTATCACCACTCGTCTGTGACGCTAGCACTGATGTGGAATAGTTTTTAGTATATTTCTGTAAGCTGCTAAAACTATTCTGGTTAAGGCCACTATATTTGGAAGCATTTTGTGGGTCTAAGTGCTCGTGCAGCAAAGCGTCACTGTTTTGACATGCTCTATACGCGCTCACGCTGCAAGCGATCACGAGTACATACCATACTTAACTTTGAGTTTTGTCTAACTGGGATGGTCTGGTGGACTTTGTTTTCATTTTCTCAATTTCGTCACCAAATAGCTCGCAAAAGAGTCTTTTTGTGTCACCGATTATACCCTGTGAATCGGTGGCTCTTTCATCCTGGCACGTAGCGTTGAAACCTAGCCTATCCTGCGTCTATGACTGCCGTTGACATGGGACAACCCTGCCACGCAGTTGCCTCGCTGACAAATAGGCTACGACAACTGAAGCCATCAGCAGAAACGTGATGACCATGGACGCTGGAAGCCGGACGACAGCAGCGGATTAGCGAGGGACCTCTGGGACTCTGCGACCAGATGCAAGCGTGATACACCGACGGGGTACGGGCCATTGGTACTCGGCCGATGGTACTCGGCCGATGGAGCCAATAAATATGATCCGGTGGAGCCACTAGATATGATCACGCACACACACACACACGCACACGCACGCACACACACACGAACACACACACGCACGCACGCACACGTACACGCACACACACACACACACGCAAACACACGCACGCACGCACGCACGCACGCACGCACGCACACACACACACACACACACACACACACACACACACACACACACACACACACACACACACACACACACACACGCACACACACAGACATCACGCGCTGTGACGCACCGACGGTAGGCGATGTGATGCTCCAACAATGAGAGGTGATGTGTCAGTGCTGGGAGGTGCGAAGTGACCGCACGATGCGATGCGCAATCGGTGGGACGCGATGCACGGGCACTGGGACGGGATACACGGCCATAAGAAGCGGGGCGCGACCAGCGGTATGACAAGCAGCAAGGGAGGGGAGGGGGGTTACACGAACGACAGGTGTGACGCGCGACCGTAAGATGTCCCCAGCGGCGTGATGTGCCCCACGAGCGGTGAGATTGATCCACTGGATCTGGCTGTGGTGCGGCGGACGTCCACACGCGGGCGGCGGCTGCATGCCACACGGTGGCCGGGAGCCACGGCCACACCCAGCCACATCAGACGCCGCTCTGGTCCGAGCCAACCACTTCCACCAGCCCACCTCACCACCACCACCACCACCACCACCGATCCAGACCATCTCATCGTCTGTCAAACTCTACCAGTTGTGTGTTACGTCACAAACAGAACGGCCGACGAAGAACGCTACCGAATGGAAGACCTTGGTTCGCATCCCGTACCGGGAAACATTCAGTGCCCCTGCCTCCGCCTGGGTTAGCGGCCATGAGAGGGACGGCGTCCCTCTCAGGAGCTGCGTGCGTCGACAAACACCTTTCAATCATGGCGTCTCCCGTATATTTAAAACTGTCGCAGAACAGTCGACAGGCTAACAAACATTAAGTAGAGTCTCTCCCCTCCCCCCAACGCCCGCCAAGGAACAATCCCGCGGTACTGGCCGCGCACAACGAACACCAGACGACACCGAGTCTGCATTGCACCGGGTCCAGCCTCAACAGCAACAACGTGCCAACAACGACGTGGTCCGGTCCCCCACCGGCCCGGGCCGTCCTCTCGGGAGCGCGGCTCCTCAAACAACGGGCCGTCCCACGGACGCGCGCGACCTCGACACAGCCAATCGCCTCAGGCGGTGTTGTCTCCGTTGGCGACCTTGCCCTTGGTCTGGTCCTGTGACCCGGGCGCGACCTGCGAGCCGCGCACGAGCAGGCGGGGCGCGGAGAGCATGATGGCCGCCGCACCGATGGGCGCCGTCACCAGGATCACCAGCACCGCGATCGCCACCACCTGGCCACACGGGCACGTGACGCCGGGTCAGGTGACCACCGGCGGCGGGGCTCAGGCTGTCGGTGCTCCCACCTCTGGCGGAAGCCAGGGCTGATGGGAACCAGCTGCGAGGGGACTAAAACACGACACAGGGACTGGGCAGTGTTACCGGGGCTCGGCTGTGCTGGGGTCGGTGATGGGTGGTGGCAGCTGGTAGGGACGGCACTCAGGGGTGGTGACAGCCGGCGGGGATGACACTCAGGGGTCGGTGACAGCCGGTGGGATGACACGCTTGGGTCGGTGATAGCCGGCGGGGATGACACGCAGGGGTCGGTAATGGCCGGCGGGGATGACACGCTGGGGTCGGTGACAGCCGGAGGTGATGACACGCAGGAGTCGGTGACAGCCGGTGGGGATGACACGCAGGGGTCAGTGACAGCCGGAGGTGGTGACACGCAGGGGTCGGTGACAGCCGGTGGGGATGACATGCAGGGGTCAGTGACAGCCGGAGGTGATGACACGCAGGGGTCGGTGACAGCCGGTGGGGATGACATGCAGGGGTCAGTGACAGCCGGAGGTGATGACACGCAGGGGTCGGTGATAGCCGACGGGGATGACACGCAGGGGTCGATGACAGCCAGTGGTGACGACACGCGGGGGTCGGTTATAGCTGGTGGGGATGACACGCGGGGGTCGGTGACAGCCGGTGGTGATGACATACGTGGGTCGGTGACAGCCAGCGGGGATGACATACGATGGTCGGTGACAGCCGGTGGGGATAACACGCGGGGTCGTTGACAGCCGGTGGGGCTGACGCGCATCGATTATAAGATCTGAACTCGGCGCCATCCGTCCCCGCTCCACCCTGCCCTCGGCGCCAGCGGACGCCGGTCCACCCCACCCTCGGCGCCAGCGGACGCCGGTCCACCCCACCCTCGGCGCCAGCGGACGCCGGTCCACCCCGCCCTCGGCGCCATCCATCCCGCTCCACCCCGCCCTCGGCGCCATCCGTCCCCGCTCCACCCCGCCCTCGGTGCCATCCGTCCCGCTCCACCCCGCCCTCGGCGCCATCCGTCCCGCTCCACCCCGCCCTCGGCGCCAGCGGACGCCCGTCCGCGGTCTGACCTGTTCACCAAGCGCGATGTTCTCGGGCGTGGGCGCGTGCAGCCGGGCGTAGTCCAGCGCCACCGGTCCGATGGCCGCCTGAGGGCGCGGGCCGGGTCACACGCGGGTCACCAGGGCAGCGGGCCTCGCTCACTGGCCGCCAGAACCGCTCTCATAGTCAGCTCACGCGAATACAGAGCAACCAGGCGCGACGTTGGTCTGTGCCAGATAGTCACGTCTTGCTGATGAGGATTGAGACTTGGTGGCCTTATAACTGGCAAGCCGACTGCACGCCCGACGGAGCCGGGCCGACAGAGTCCGGCTGGCAGAGTCAGCTGAGGGTCAGCTGAGAGTCAGCTGACAGAGCCAGACTGGCAGTCAGCTGACAACGCCGGCCAGCTCGGACGTCGGCCTTCGTATCTAGATACAGAGTTAGATCTCGTTGCACCCACCTGCGTCGGACGCGTGCCAGGGTCACAGCCGATACTGTGCCACGGTCACAGCCGACACTGTGCCAGGGTCACAACCAGTACAGCGGCCCGGCGGCGCGGGCCCCTCGCCGTGTTCTCCGAGGGACACGTGCCTGTATCGAGCTCAGCGAGTGACCAACGGCAGCCAGCCGACGACAGAGCGGCACCGACCTGATCCAAGCACCGCCAAACCGCAATAGCACAAAACAACCCGTCAGACGAAATGGCGCCAAACGTCAGACGAAACGGCGCCACGTCGCAATTTTGCCAATATCCAATAATTCACCGATAAGCTTACAGATGGTCTAGCCCAAGCATGGGACAGCAAGTTTGATGGAACACGTAAACAGCGGGCCGTGAAATGTCGCTTGGCCGTCTGCCGGCCACCGCAGCAGTCTCACCTGAACTGTGGCCTTGGGCAGCCAGGCCACGGCCACGAACAGCCGCTCCTTGACCGTCAGCCCTCCGCCCATCACCACGAAAAAGCTGACGATTATCCGCACCGTCAGGCCTGCCGATAGGCCGACAAAATATTAGCCATTATGGACACGTGGTATCTGTTGCGCTGTACTAGTTAACACCATGTCATTTGCTGGTAATTTACATAAATCATCATCCCGTAACTACCGTACCGCGACGGGTAGTCAGAGCACGCGCCGTGGGCGGCCGCACACGACCCGCAGGCAGCCGTCGGCGGAGCGTGCCCGGCCGGGAGCGGACCGGGAGCGGACGGCGCGGAGACCGCGCGGGCTCACCCACCGATGGCGAGTGTGAGCAGGCCGAAGCCGACCGTGTTCGCCTGGAGCACGCCACCGCGGCGGTCACCTACCGATGGCGAGAGTGAGCAGGCCGAAGCCGACCGTGTCCGCCTTGAGTGCGTCGACGCGGATCTCAGCTCCGATCAGGCCGAACAGGATCGGCTGGAAGACGAACCACAGGATGCCGTACGCCTCGCTCACCGGGTTCTGCCGGCGAGAGGCGCGACGTTAGACCAGCGGCAGGGGCCACAGAGGCACGCCAGCGGACGGGGAAGGCGTGGGGCTATGTCGGAACAATAACGGAGGTGGGGACAGGCCCGGAGGAAACGTTCAGGGGCACACTTCTATCCTGACCATGTGATCCAGACGGATCGTCCGACGGATATACAGCACAACTGCAGGAAAGAACGGCAAGGAAAGAAAAACACAGCACTCCGCTTTTCCTGACACTCGGTGCAGCCAGTAGAGAGATACAAGAAAACAACACCAGAGGCCAAAATTGGTGAAGGCGATCACGCTGTACGAAACACTGAGGACAGTGTGATTGGTAGCATTATAGGGAGACTGGTGAACACCGAGATCTGCAGAGCGAGTGGGCATGCACCGGCGCTGCTGTGAGCTGTGTGATGGGCCAACAGAGCCAGTGGTGAGCAGTCTGGTCAGGAGGGCGGCGGCCTGACTGACCGTGTCACCGGTTCAGCCCCGCTGCCTGACTGACCGTATCACCAGTCCAGCCCCCCCCCCCCCCCCCCCGCTGCCTGACTGACCGTGTCACCGGTCCAGCCCCGCTGTCTCCAGCCGTGGCCAGCCACGAACGACAGCGTCAACGCCCCCAGGGCGCCGGCTCCGGAACAACCCACCTGGAGGAGCGCGGCACGGCCGTCAGGGCAACACCAACACAGAACAGAGCCATCAGGGTTACGCCAACACCGAGCACAATCGTTAGGGGAACACCAACACGGAACACGGTCGCCAGGGCGACACCAACACGGAACACGGTCGTCAAGGCACACCAACACGGAACACGGCCGTCAGGGCAACACCGACACGGAACACGGCCGTCAGGGCAACACCGACACGGAACACGGCCGTCAGGGGAACACCAACACAAACACGGCCGTCAGGGCAACACCGAAACGGAACACGGTCGTCAGGGCGACACCAACACAGAACAAAGCCATCAGGGTTACACCAACACCGAACACAATCGTCAGGAGAACACCAACACGGAACACGGCCGTCAGGGCAATACCAACACAAACACGGCCGCCAGGGCGACACCAATACGAAGCACAGAACACAACACGCCCTCACCGCCTGACTGCCGAAGAGCGCCAACAGGCCGAGGCAGGTGATGAGCACGAGCCGCAGCAGCGGCAGCTGCCGGTTGTCGGCGCCCGGCAGGAACCAGAGCAGCACGCCCAGGCTGACGCCGTAGCTGAGGCCCAGCAGCACCTCCAGCGGACCCGACAGCAGCTTGTCCGTCAGCGCGCCTGCCGTCCGGGGCAGCGGAGCTCAAGAGCGGCGGCGGGCAGCGCAGCTCAGGGGCGGCGGCGGGCGGCGGGAGCTGGCGGAGCGGCGGGCAGGCAGCGGAGCTCAGGGGCGGCGAGAGTGGAGCTTAGGGATGGCGGAGGCGAGTGGCGGGAGCTGGCGGGGTGGCGGCGGCGGGCAGTGGGTGCCGGCGAGGCAGCGGCGGGGAGCAGGAGCTGGCGAGGCAGCGGCGGGGAGCAGGAGCTGGCGGAGTGGCGGCGGCGGGCAGTGGGTGCCGGCGAGGCAGCGGCGGGGAGCAGGAGCTGGCGAGGCAGCGGCGGGGAGCAGGAGCTGGCGGGGGTGGGCGGCGGCGGGCAGTGGGTGCCGGCGAGGCAGCGGCGGGGAGCAGGAGCTGGCGAGGCAGCGGCGGGGAGCAGGAGCTGGCGGGGTGGCGGCGGCGGGCAGTGGGTGCCGGCGAGGCAGCGGCGGGGAGCAGGAGCTGGCGAGGCAGCGGCGGGGAGCAGGAGCTGGCGGGGTGGCGGCGGCGGGCAGTGGGTGCCGGCGAGGCAGCGGCGGCGAGCAGTGGGAGCTGGCGGGGCTACGGTGGCGGGCAGCGCGAGTTGGCGGGGCGGGCAGCGGGAGCTGGCGGGGCGGGCAGCGGGAGCTGGCGGGGCGGCGGCGGGCAGCAGAGCTCAGGGGCGGCGGCGGGCGGCGAGAGCGGAGCTTAGGGGCGGCGGCGGCGAGTGGCGGGAGCTGGCGGGGTGGCGGTGGCGAGCAGCAGCGCAACCACCCGACAGCCGCTGATGGCTTCATCGAACACTGTCCCGCTACGAAACTGCACGACACGACATCGGCCGTCTCGCAGCCAATGGCAGACGCTGCACGCAGTTTTCGAGAAAAAATCGGTGCGTGCGCGCGCCAAGCTCACATGCGGTTTGACCACCACTGCTTTGACGCGCATCGCACCATGGGCTCGTGTCGCCGGAGAAAAACAGAAGAAAGCACAGCGAGCCAGCCCCCAACACTTCCACGAGCCCGCGGCTGATGTGCGGTTTCACGTGGTTAGTATGCATCATCACGCGTAAGCCGACTATTGATAAATGTTAATGAAAGAGCAGGAACACCAGGACGTGGCGGCACGGCCGTGACGTGTAACTGATATGTTCTGCTTGTTAACTGGTCTGTTCTATCTGTTGACTGGTCTGTTCTGTCTGTTGACTGGTCTGTTCCGCCTGTTGACAGGTCTGTTCTGTCCGGTGACTGGTCTGTTCTGTCCGGTGACTGGTCTGTTCTGTCTGTTGACTGGTCTGTTCTGCCTGTTGACCGGTCAGTTCTGTCCGCTGACTGGTCAGTTCTGTCCGGTGACTGGTCTGTTCTGTCCGTTGACTGGTCTGTTCTGTCTCGGGACGCGCTGCGCTTCGTAGGCAGCGGACTACACGAGCGTTCGACTGACGAACATGATGACGAGGGTGATTGGGGTTTTAGGGCGCGCCGTCGACCAAGATCAGCCTTGACTGACCAAGGTTCACACAAACGTGCTAACATCGCTGGCAGGGGGTCATAGGCGTTAGCCAACCTGAGGTTTAGCGCTCATTTGAAGTAAACTGGCGCGAGACGCGTCCCGGGATCCAACCGATACCAGGGCACATCTCTGTCGCCGAACGTCGGACAAGCTCACCCTGCGAGAAGCAGATGCCAAAGAGGACGCCGAAGCCGGAGATGGCGAGCACGTCATCGATGCTGGCAGCGGCCATGACGAGTGTGGGCACGCCCTTCGCCACACCGTAGCCCTGCTCCTGGAGCGCCAGCAGACAGGGCACCACCACGGCCGGGGAGACGGCCGCCAGCACGAACCTGGGCAGGACAGGGGGATCACACCACTACTACAGGCAGGGCACCAGACGGCCGCCAGCACGAACCTGGGCAGGACAGGGGGATCACACCACTACCACAGGCAGGGCACCAGACGACCGCCAGCGCGAACCTGGGCAGGACAGGGGGATCACACCACTACCACAGGCAGGGCACCAGACGGCCGCCAGCACGAACCTGGGCAGGACAGGGGGGTCACACCACTACCACAGGCAGGGCACCAGACGGCCGCCAGCACGAGCCTGGGCAGGACAGGGGGGTCACACCACTACCACAGGCAGGGCACCAACGGCGCCGCACACCTGGGCGAAGGGGGTCACACCACTACCAGGCAGGCACCAGACGCGCCAGCCACGAACCTGACTGCGGGCAGTCACACCACACAGCAGGCACCGACGCCGCCAGCACGAGCCGGGAGGCAGGGGGGAAAGGCACCAACGCGCAGAGATGGGCAGGGGGGGGAGGGGCACATACAACCGCGAGACGACAGGGACATGACTGCCACCAAAACTGGGGAACGATAGATAATGAAAACAAACACTTCAACAAACCCGGACGCGATAACTTCTTCCTGCACACTTCATGTCAGGCCGAGCCGCGATTAAGCGCCAGTTCACGCGGAACAAGTGCGTCACCACTTGGCCGCCAGGCAACGGGGGTCGGAGACTAGCGGAGCACCGCGCCATCCGTTCCATCCTACCACGGCACAAGAAAATCGTCCGACGCCAGGCTCCATGTAAAGAAGATCACCAAAACACGATCCCATGTAAAGGGAGCCCTAACCGAAGCATGACCCCCAGATAAAGGGAGCGCTAACCAAAACACGATCCCCACATAAAGGGAGCCCTACCCGAAGCATGACCCCCAAGACGCAGGGAGCCATAGCATGCTCCTCAGATGGCGTGGCCTCTCACCCGAGCATGAAGGACCAGATCCAGGGCATGCCGAGCAGGAGGTGGGCGGCGATGCCGACGGTCAGCGTCTCGCTCAGACAGGGCGTGAAGGCCAGCCGCACCACCACCAGACTGAGCCGGCGCAGCGCACCGGCGTCCAGGCCCAGCCCGGCCCGTGTCAGGATCACCATCAGCGCCACGTTCCTGTGAGCACCGGCGCGGTCAGTCGCGCGGTCCCGAGAAGCGCCCTCCTGCACAGGATCACCATCAGCGCCACGTTCCTGCGAACAGCGGCGCGGTCAGCGGCACGGTCCCGAGGAGCGCCCCCCTGCGACAGGATCACCGGCATCGTCATCAGAGCCGCGCTAGTCCCGCAGACGGGCCGCCGTCGCACACGGGCGGGACCGCCGGCAGAGCGGCGGCGCACTGGCCGCAGGTCACCATCGGACATGCATTTCCGCGCCCGCCAAGTTCACCGCCGCGTTTTTTTTTTTACCCGAACAGAGCGCGCAAACCGAGCACCGCAGCAGCTGGTCCCGAGCTCTCGGCCGATCAGCGGGCGTACGGGCAGGCGCGGCCCGCAGGCACCACGCCGGCCGGCCGGCCCCGCCCGAGCGTGGCCGCCGCCCGGCTCACCTCAGCAGCGAGGAGGTCGACTCCTTGACGGCCGTGGCGACGCCGCTGAGGCCGGGCACGTTGGCCAGGACGATGCCCATGATGAGCATGCCCAGCAGCGGCGGCAGGCGCAGTCGCTCCACCAGCCAGCCGGCCGCCAGGCTCAGCACCACCACACACAGCACGCTGCCGACGGACGCGACACGTCACACGTGAAGGCACTACACTGAGACGCGTGCTGATGCCACGCCGACACAAACGCAGGAGTTTGGGGGAGCGACCCACACTACACTGAGACGCGTGCCGATACCACGCCGACACAAACGCAGGGGAAGGAACGTTCGGCAGAGCGACCCACACGCTTACGAGCTTTTCACAATAACTTATCTAAATCACAACCACTGACAACTTAACACTCGCGACCATGTCAGCAGTGCTGTGTGTGCAAGGGTACAAAGCAATGAACACGCCACACACGCATACAGGAATGCCTATCATCAGCCCTGCACACACACCACCTGCCACAAATAAATATCGCTGTATAAGTTCGCGAAACGAACGCAATAAACCACTAATGCACGGTTTTCACGCATCACAAGAGTCTGCCAGCATTCATAGCAGCATTGGCGCAGGCCCGGGGCGGGGCTCGCGGCTCGACTGACCCGAATATCTGTCCGCCTGGCAGCGCCTCCTTGTCGGCGAGGGACACGGCCAGCGCCCAGAGGGCCAGCGTCACCAGCACGGCCACCAGCAGCTGCTCCAGCCGGCCCCAGGGCGGGCACGTGCAGCCGTACAGCAGGCGCCGCCACACCGGAGCCGCCGGCAGCGGCTTGTAGGTGGAGCGCAGGAGCGGTCGGCTGCAGCGGTGGCATCTGCCGGTCGGCTCCGGAGACTGCAGTTCCAGAGGCTCCGCCAGGAACACGTCCTGGTCGCCTGGGGCGGAGGGGTTGCCGTTAAAGTCAGTCCGACAGTCAGCCTAAAGCTGGCGTTCGAGATCCACAGCGGGCAGAGAATCCCAGCCTCTGCGCTCCACCGAGCCCGCCTCAGACAACATGGAGCCATGTGTGTAATCGGAACATACATATACACTAAGCAAGTGCTGAAGTACCTTCACATTCGCCACTCGCATGCGATAAAACCCGCATTCAGGGCACGTCACTAATCCACGCAAAGCACGCAAGCACGTGCTGGTGCCACGCCAACCGCTGGTGCGACGCCAGTCACCAGGCGTCAGGCTTTCATAACGAACCGCTCCAAGTACATCTTCCTCTTGGCCGCCAGCCGGCCCAGCCTGTCCCCACGGCCATCGCCAGAGCTGGAGACTTTCGCCGCTGCGGATCCACCCTGGCCGTAGCGCCGCCGCGGGACAGACAATGTGGGGGACACCCTGAGGGAGAGCTGTGGTCCCAGCTGGATGATGTACTGGCCCCATGGTGACACGCACGCAGAAGTGTGCGTGTGGGACGGGGTGGGGCGGAGTGAGGGTGGAGGAGGGGGAAGGGCGACAGCAAACTAGAGGGAATAATGTTGTAGATTTTGACAAGAAGCGTTCGACATAGTAGAGCCAAATGCAAGCTTGTGCATGGCGCAGATGGCTACACTGATCCTATTAGCATGACTCCTCTTGCACCGCAGTGCAGTCAATCTGAGCATGGTCCCCATGCTTGGGCGGTCCTCAAACCCCGGACAGCCGAGGCCAGGCAAGCCGAAGTGAAGGCAGGATTCAATTTGATCGCCGCATACCACGCCGGCCACCGGCCTCCGTCCGTTCCGGCCAAACTTCAGGCTAGGAAACGACCCAGCACTACACAGCTTCAGCGACGACTAGCCTGGATCAGACTGGATCAGACTGGACCAGACTAGATTAGACTGGATCAGACTGGATCAGACCGGATCAGACCTGCCCAGCCGCGGGCCACCCGCCGGCGGACCGTACCGATGTCGTCGCTGATGGTGGGCGGCTTGCTGCCGCTGCCGCGTGTGGCCAGGTCAGTGCCATTCAAACTCCCGTGCTCGCTGGACCGCGACTGCTTCTCCTCTGAGGGTGCAGTTTGGGAGACACTGAGCGTTGTGACACGGTTGCGGAAACTTTGGCGTTATGACATGGCTGTGACGCGAGTCTCGACCGGACCGGTTCGGAACACGTTATGCATGTCTCATTCTGTGTTTCATGCAAAGAAGCGCCGCTGTCAGCGCGGAACACTTCGTGCGATTCGAAGTACACTGCAAAACAACATGAAATAAAGATCAATTATCCAAAGATCATTCACCCAGTGCACAGAATGTGAAATGCGCAAAATCATGGGACAAAAAGTTGTGCTCAAAAGCAGCAGGTGTTTCCTACCTGACGAGGTTGACTGCTCTGCGGATCGTGGCTGCTGCTGCTGCTGCTGCTGCATTGGTGGCTCCAAGTCGAGGGCAGGGAAGACATAGGTGGCAGTTGGATCTGCCATTGCTGGGACCAGATCAAACCTGGGAGAACTACTTACAGCCCTGCAACAAATGAGTTTGATTATGCAGGTTTCGTCTTCATACTTCCAGCTTATTGTATTGGATGCCTCAGCTGTGTGAGAAGAGTACTGCTAACCCCCTAATGTCCGTTCCAATAACCCAGTTGGTTAGGGAGCCTACCTTCTGATCCACCCACCAATAGCAGGGTGGGTTCAATTTTTTGTAGGCATTCACTGTTTAAGACTGACTGGAACTGCCTGTGGCTGGTTGCAGCGACCACACTAAAGGTCAAGGTGACATGACCTGCATTGCTATGTGGTTTACCAAATCTGCCCTTGACCTGTTATTTCAGGATTGGATGGTAGGGGTCAGGGTTTACACAGCAAACACTGCTCAGCATGAGCTCTGACCCCACAAGGCCATCCATTTTAAAGGTCCAGAATGAATCTTCAAAACAGGTATTGGAACATAGTGCTCACTACAACCCATCCACTCTGGGATGCATAGCAGCTATAACTGGTGCACTGAAGCTTAGCTACCATGGTGATTATTGCATACTATAGATGAAGAGCTGATGACTCGGTACAGTATGAGATTTGCATATATGGTGGAAGGATCAACCTTCAAATTCAAATGAAAGATTAGAGTACACTTAAATGTTTCCATCAAAAGCTTAAATAATAATGTCATGAAGTTCTCAAAACCTGTCTTAACCATTTCTGACCAACTTCTTTCAAGTTCACTGTTATGCAGTGGAGGGCAATGCACCTACCTCAAAATAAAAAATTTAGCAGAGTAGTCAAGTTTACATGCACTTTCATGCACAGTAGGCAGCCATGTTCAAAAGAAATCCTTCCTGAGATTGCAGAGGTACTTTGTCAGATGGGGTCCCCTGGATTTCCATCCCCTCCTCCTTCCCTGCCAATAATCAGTGGCTCCATCCATGACTGCCTGAGTCCCCGCAACTGTTTTGCTTTTGTCCCCAGAGCAAACATGTGAAACACAGTGGTGGCAGATTAAGTCCAGAAACCATAGCAGCTGGGCCAAGAAATCAAACTATGCTTTCAGACACAGGATGGGATGGGTGCCACAGGCTGATTCATTTCTAATTCATTCATATAGCATGTAGTTTGTTTAAAGAAAACCAGGGCCTAACTTACATTCAAATGCATCTATTTGCATGTTTCAAGACAGGGATGCAGCCAACAGGCAACATGCCCCCCCCCCCCCCCCCTGCTCCCCCTAGGCCGGCATTTGTCTGCTATCACCACAGATGTCTCCTGACGGAACATTAAAAATTGTCATGATGAGCTATCAATGAAATCTGCTCCCTCACCATAAAGGAAATTCTGGCTACATCCTAGTTTGAAAGTTAGTTTCCAGCATTAGACAGATGTTTTTTAAGACTCAAATCCTAATCTTCAGGGTTAAATTCACATTTCTAGAATTCAAGCATTTCAAAAGTTTGAATGCTTTGATTAAGCTAAACACGGCTCAAATTATTTGCACACAGCCAGCTGTGAGCGCTGAAAGCCAACCATTTGTAGTTTTAAATCATGCAAAGGGAATAACCATGAACTGGGCTTATTTCACCAACACTTGGGATAACCCATGATTTGAATATGATATTGACCAGTATTAAATGAAGCACAGCCTTGATCTGAATGCAGAAGGAGTCCTGATTTCAACCATCATTCTTTACATCCTGGCCTGATGCCAACTGAAGCTCATTCACCTATATCTCTGCATAACTCACATACTACATGTTGAGGCATTTACCTCATGAAGTAAGATAAGCCTTTCAACTGTTTAAGGATGCCATGGTATATTTAACTTACCCACATGTTTTATGCTGCCTAGGCCAGGGAAAAAGACAAAAGACAAAAGCAAGGCTCAGATAACATTGTTCCTTGATTTGGCCAAAGCACAGGTTGCCCAAACATACACATTGCCATTATCTGAATTAGAGAGCAAGATGTGAGCTTTAACATAGTTTAATCAGCTTAAGGGCTATTTCTCATGGGCAAGAAACAAAACAGGCAATTTTTCCTGAAGCTTTTATTGGTCTAGTCTACAAAGCCATGGAGCGGTCAAAACTGATGAAGGTATTTTTTTCCTCTGGGAATGCTGCCACATCCCAATAGTTACTTCAGATAGCTTTCATCAGATATGTGATGTTCCATAGACAGAATGGACTCACAAACACTTTTGCATCCCAATTTTCAAGTCAAATTCCAGTCTCATTTTCGGAGCTCAGCCCAGCGATCATGTCATTCCCAAAATGACATGACCAAATGACAAATGGCATGCCACCATGCCGTTCAAACCATTTCAAGCAAACAAAGCACCAGAATAAGATAAAACCACTTGAAGGGAACACTTGAAAGAAACTACATACCCTGAGCAAGTCTTTTTCAGCATACTCAGGGAAGTTGTATAAATGACCTTGACAAGTGCCGTGAAATCAAGCTAGATAAGCAAAAAGCTATGACACAAAATAATCCTTCATTCTCATAACTCTTTCTAAATGCCATGGGCACAAACATACAAGTCTAATTACAGCCTATGGTTCTTAACATGAACCTTTTCCACCACAAGGCTATGTTTTTCAATAATGGTTGGTTTTCAGAAGCAATGGAGAGTGTGCACAACTTTCTATTGCTTTGGCTAGATGAAAGCATGGAGTTAATACTGCTTTTTCCTCAACAATGGGTGGGCAGGCTGCCAGGCACTGTACTGTGCATATGCTATGCTCCAGCTACCTAGCCTTAAAATGCCATATGCTGACAAATGTGATCATGATCCACTGAAATGATATCAAAAGGGGTCTAAGAGATCCAAGGGAGGCCAACATGCTGAAGTCCCCATAAGATCACCACAATACCACCATCTTGCTGATGGCCATCTTAAGCTGCAACAAGAAACCTGGGAGCATGTCCTCCACAAGGACTAAATGCTGAATCTACTCCCAGTCCCAGCAAACAAATGCTGACCAAATTTGTGGACCAATCCCAAAACGTAGGTGGTTGAGCACTTGAAAACTAATTGGCTACATTTAACACTGGAGTAACTGTCATGCTAAGAATTGTGGAAAATATGAAACAACCAAAACTAAGGCTAACTAGGGGATACACAGAACATCACAGACCGTTCCACTCCAAAGGCTGCACCAAAGAGCTGGACCTTGAAGCCAGACGGTGTTATCTGGACACGATACCCGCTCATCTGCGATCCCGTGTCAACAGACGCCACCCGTCTGGCGACAGATTTCAGGGCTTTCATGCACTGCATCTTGAAGCTATCGGGGGATTTCCTACACACTCACGTGCTGAGGCGTAGTTCTAGAGCTACGGCTGAAGTTTAAAGCTATATGACATCACCTGATTCTATTCTTGGCAGGAATCGCGAACGCGACGGGGAATCGAACCCCGTCCTGCACCTTGAACTTTATCTGGCATTAGTGCAGATAAAGCGCATCTGCGTTGCAACTGTCGAGGATATTTGTAAACAAATTAGTGCTACCAAATATGACATAAAATATTTACTTGCCTGGAAAAGAAAAAGAACTCGGGTCTGCTGCTAAAACAACAAATGCAAGTGATTCAAAATATTCTGGTCATTCTCGTACTCACCGGGTAAAACAAAGGGGAACGCTAGGAAGTGTATTTGCCCAACTTCAGATACTAGCGACCAGAGACTAGTTGAAAACCAGTAAAGCGTTGCATGCCAAAACAGGTCAAAAGTTCATTTTGCGGTCGAATGAGCGCGTCCGTCGTGCATTCGTCACAGCGTCAGACGCTCTGGCAACTGGGCTACAGTTGCAGAAGACGGTGGGATTTCAAAACGATCGCTCTCCGATCCTTGGATGATCTTGTTATGCAGTATATGTTTGCACCAGTTTTCTGTTGTTCTTGATTTTGGGTGACGTCTCCTATACTGGTCTCCATTATAATACGCGGATTATTTTCCATGTAGCTGTTTTACTCCACTTTGTTTTGCCGTATGCGTAACTAGGAGCGAACGCTGCATGTTCCTCTGCAGTTTAACTATGATCACCCGACCACCTCTTCACGAATACCCACGAACACACACGAACGGCATCACTGGGCGCCCAAAGGACATCCTGCATGAAAGCAGCAAGCACCGTGGTTGGCTTTGTAATTAACATAAAGTCCTTGAATGTTTTTTCTTTGGAAGGTGCGTACTCGCACATGAAGTTGTCATTATTAATGACATGTGGTTCCCCCCACCTTTCCTATCGTTTTGCAGACAGTAATTGCATACGTAGCAATAATCAAGGTCATAGGAGGTCATTGGGATTAGTGCTTACATCGGCAATAATTATAGTTCCTTGAATTAATTATACATGTTATAGTTACTGACGGTTGTTGGATCGCTTGCTTACGGTAGGTACTGGTTTGGAGATAACATTATTGAGGCAATTCCCTGTCATACACTGGCTGGTTGGGAACGACTACAATTGGTGACGAAAACATTGGCTCACCGACAATAAAGGCTTTTTAAGAAAGCTTTGGTTGCCTCCTAACAAGTTGGGCAGCAAACGCAACTTTACTGGGATTCCACAATATTCACGCATCCACATCGCCTCATACATGCTTGTTTGTTGGTCATTTTAAACGGAGACCTATGGCATGGGCACTACATACAGGGCCTGCGACTTATATGCAATGACCAGATGTTTCAAGCATGAGTGGAACAGTACAGTTGTCCACCACGCAAACCTGGAAATTCGTCTCCAAGAAAATAGCAGCCACCTGGTGTAAGGCTCACCGCGACATCACGCAGCCCCGGTTCTCTATCGTCAGCGAACTACGCCGGCATCTCTCGCCGGCTAACAACACATAGCTGCTGGAATCACTCATCGACAGGTGCGAACCTCATCTTTCGGGTTCGCTGGAATGATTTCGATGGCGGCACACTCAGTGACCAAATTCACTGCCGGTAGCAAGTGCCAGATACTCATGGTTATCCTAGCGAGCTCCCTTCTTTGACTGCAAGATAACCCACCTACGGAAAAATCACCGAGGCTAATTGCGCTACTGTTGCAAAATGTAGCGCTATTATCACCGACAGCCCAACACTTTTGGCGATCTCCGCCTTCTGGGAGTCACAGGAGAGCAGCTGAGAAGTGAATCTCACGTTCTTTGAGCTGCGAATCCATCAACGGTACTCTGCACGTGCTACTGCCACTTTGACTAGCAACCCGCGCCGTGTAGAACGCGTCCCACCTCATCTGTGAGTCGCGAAGACATTGAGCGGCGACCAGGTCCCTAACCTCTATAGGAAGTGGGACCTTCAACCCACGACTGTAACAACTGCCTGTGAGCCTTGTGGAGCTTTTTCCATCGCTACCTCCCAAAAGCCTCTAGCTGCATAACGTTTAGGTCTTCCCCCTCACTACCCGCGGAGTACCATGAAGGAAAGCATCTGTAACGCATCTAGCCCGTGTAGGTAAGTCCTCTCTCTTGAAGTCATGAAAACTGCTAGTCGCCCCCCAACACGCTATGCGAGATAAGCATGTCAATTAGAAACATAGAGCTGACTGCGACATGCCCTCCCGCACCCACTAATATCCAGGACGCGCATTGTGCATTGATCTGCTATGTTCCTAAACAATGTTCACTGGAACACGTAGACGGCAGCAGGCAGGGGAAGCAGGCGATTGAACACCAGATGCTAGTGACACATTTGTATATTAGGTATGCTTATTACTTAGGACAAAACGACGTACACTTGGTACGTATGGTATGCTTATTACTTATTAGGAATACACGACGTACAAGATATCACGGATCAGAAATAACGCGCGTATACGTAATCATCAAACCCTACAGCACGCGATTGTCTCTAAGCTACATTAAGTGCAACACAAGGTTATCTTAAAACACAAAAAGGGCTGGGGCCTCCGAGAAGCGTCCAAGAGTCGGCGATTGCTCCTGCACACCGTAGAGGCGTCGACGCCGTCGGTGCGCCAGGTCGCTAGTCTCCGCTCACCGTAAATGTCCTAATATCCGTGACTCTCTGACGACGTCGAAGGTCTGAATGCCCGTGACCCTCTGACGACGTCGAAGGTCTGAATGTCCGTATGAAGGCATGTTTACATCCGAGCACGGCCGGAGTGAGCAGCCGGGCCAAACGTAATAAATAATGACACATGCACATTGCACAATGGCCCGCGCAGCAGCAGCTGCGCCGGACGGCTGCGGACGGAGGTCACGCGTCTCAGGCCGTCACGCCTGGCTCGCCACCGGCCCGACCTGGTGCCGCCCCGCGCGGCGCGTCTCCAACAGCGCGTCGCGATGGAATGCGATCCGACGCGGCTCAACGCGGCCCGATGCGACCCGACGCTGCTCAACGCGACCTGGTGCGACCCGACGCGGCTCAACGCGGCCCGATGCGGCCCGACGCGGCTCAACGCGGCCCGATGCGGCCCGACGCGGCTCAACGCTCGGCTGTCGCGCAACGGCGGGACGGCGCCACGCGTGCGACTGGTTGCCATGGATACCAAATAAACAGCGCGTGTTTACTTTCAGCACCTTCACGCGTGTTGGTGGTTTGGTCAGTACCAGCAGGCTAAACAGCATATTACTATCCTGACCACTCTATTGCGGACTTAATCATACCCATAAATAGTGTATCTCGTTTTCGACGGAGTACCTGTGAAGGCACTTACAAGTTAACCCGCTTATTCAAGAGGAGAAGCCCAAGCGACAACACGAGGTCCGGTAGCACCAGCCAGTCACGGATACACTGTTCTGCCGGTGCTTCATGGCACCCAAATGAGGCATCGAACGTTGAAACACCAGCTGAACACCCGGCTGAGTGCGTTTGCATCTGCTCTGCGAACTTACATGCATTCTATAACCTAACAGCTCCCAATGCATGAGGTTTACATCTGTTGATCATCTGCTTGAGTGGCGTCAGTCTGCAAAGCGATGACCCGGTACGCTAGCTGTTCGCTGCTGGCGTTCGTATGGGAGGGGGGGGGGGGGGGTCAATTCGGCTCAATTGAAGTTTTCTAGAATAGCTTCCGAAAGGAGTGGCGCGGCCGCCCGGCCCAAATTTGTCTTCCAGTTTTGGGCTACAAAATTCTCGAATTTTGGTGCAAAATAAGATTGCTTATCTCTTAAGGTCGCTGACTTGTAGCAGGGTAGTCAGGCCATCGTTGTTGATAAAGGTGGTTCTAAAGGAACTCTTTCAAGTTAATGCGACAAGGAATCGCTAGACGAAGTCAGACAGATTGGAAGCTAGAAGGTCAATTGAATGTGAAACCAAACAACTTTTTTGCTGGAAAACTTCATGTGGAGGACAGTTTGTGACACCTATTTCGAATCGCTTGATCACAAGGCCGTCAACAATCTCTTATTTTGACTATATGAAGCCAGGTGAGGTCACTGATCTAAAGTGTCCTCTATGAACATTTTGCCTTAAGGACCATGTCATCATCTCTTGATGCTTGGCCTAGTTCTTGGTCCTTGATGCTGGTTTGATACTCAGGTCTCAACATAATCTCGGGGGCTATTTTGACTTTCTAGTTTCCATGAAACGTCACCGGCCTGACATGAAAACGAGTGATTTTTTGCCAGGAAAAAGTATCAAAACTAAAGCTGGTTGCGTGGAGAGGCCTGATGGCACTCCGGACACCTATTTCGTAGTTGGCTTTGTTTTATCGTAT